TTCTTTTTCTGAAACAGTAGCTACTACTCTTTGTTGTTCTATAACATTTTCAAGAATTGGTTACTTTTCATCAAATTTAAAGTACTGAGCTGATATCAAAAGCAATAGTGTTTGGCTGGTGTTTCATTTTATATCTTACTATCCTTTTAAACATTAATTCAGCAAACATTTAAAATGTACTCTTTAAAGTGTGCTATGCTAAATGCTGTGAAGAATTAAGCTCTCAAGAGCTTAGCATTCATAGATAACAACTGAAGAGAGGGCATTTCCAGGCAGAGATAAATTCTTGAGCAAAAGCACAGAGATGGAAAGGGCAAGGTGACCAATATGTAACTTGTGTGAATGGGTAGTAGTGGAAGACATAAGAATTGAAAGGTATGTTGGGTTGTTTGAAACACCCAATGCCAAACTTATTCAGTAAGCAATAGGAGACTCCTGAGCAGGAGAGTGGCATTCTCAAAATCATACTTAGAAGATTAACCCAACTGCACTATGTGGGATAAATTGTAATAGAGAGACTGGAAAAGGAATTCCAGTTGAGATATTACAATAGACCAAATCAACAAAATTACAGGGGTGAGATGGGGTGAGAGGGTGGATTGCAGAAAGATCCCAGAGGTGGAAACAACAGAACTTGGATGTGGGAGCACAAGAAGTAGAAGTAGTCTAAGATGTTTCAAGCCTAATGTATGAGAGGATGTTGCTCTTCTGAACAGAAACAGGAAATTAGGAGGATGATCAGGCTTTCCAGAGAAAATGAATTAAGGTTTGGGAATATTTTATTTGAAATGTTGGTGGTTCACTTATATTTAAGTGTGAAGCAGACACTTGGAAATGCATGAAGCTCAAAGAGGATATAGGATTTATGAGAATGAATAAAATTACCAAGGGAGAAAGACAGAAGAGGATGGGAGAAAAAAGAAAAATGTGAGACAAAAATAAAGAAGACAGTAGGTGCTGTCAAAAGAAAGTATAATGAGAATCTGGAGGGTAGGGTATCTTGGACACCAAAGGAGGGGAAAGTTTTTCAACAGGATGATTGTGGATGAAACTGAGAGGTGTTCTTCTTTACAATGATTCCCTTCTCTTCAGTAACAGAAACTGGTACCTAGAAAGGGGCTATATTGCCTAGTCTCCTTTATAGCTAGAAGTGCCTATTTACATAGTTTGGGCCAATGAAATGCAATCATACATTTTCTGTGTTACATCCAGGAAGTCTCCTTGAAAAGGAGGGGGGGGCATACTTCTATTTTCCCTTCCTGCTCCTAATAATGGCTGGAGCTCCAGCAGATAATTTTTGGATCATGAAGAGATCTCAAGAATGGGAACTGGGGGCTTCCCTGGTGGCGCAGTGGTTGAGAGTCCGCCTGCCGATGCAGGGGACATGGGTTCGTGCCCCGGTCCGGGAAGATCCTACGTGCCGCAGAGCGGCTGGGCCTGTGAGCCATGGCCACTGAGCCTGCGCGTCTGGAGCCTGTGCTCCGCAACGGGAGAGGCCACAACAATGAGAGACCCGCGTACCGCAAAAAAAAAAAAAAAAAAAAAAAGAATGGGAACTGCACATCAAGATATGGAGCAGCACAATACAGCATCCTAGTTTCCTGCCATCAAGGAGCCACCACGTCACCTCTGAAAGATTACTTCTACATTTTCTTTTTTAGAAATAAATAAACATGCAGCCACACTCAAATAAGAATTGATAAAAAATTATTGATTATTTGGTGTGGGAGTAGAGCCCAGTTGGAGGCGTTTTCCAAATAATGGCTATGAAAACAGGTTCTAGAGTCAAACTGACTAGCATTAAATTCAGCTCCATCATTCATTAACTATGTGACATTGAATAAGAAATTTAACGGCTCTAAGCCTCATCATATTAATAGAGTAGACATATTAATAGAGCAGATATATTAATAGAGCCTACCTCATGGGTTATGTGAGAAATGATTTAGATTATTGATGTAAAGCCCCTCACACAGTGCTAGCACATAGTAGGTGCTCAACGAATGTCAGTGAAAAAACCTCAGGTGGTCATTGGGTAATATGGTATAATTTTAAAAATACATTTCATGAAATGAAAATCAAAACTACAATGAGGTACCAACTCACACCAGTCAGAATGGCTATCATTAAAATGTCTACAAATAACAAATGCTGGAGAAGGTATGGAGAAAAGGGAACCTTCCTACACTGTTGGTGGAAATGTAAGTTGGTGCAGCCACTATGGAAAACAGTATGGAGGTTCCTCAGAAAACTAAAAATAGAAGTATCATATGATCCAGCAATCTCACTCCTGGGCATATATATGGACAAAACTATAATTCAAAAAGATACATGCACCCCAATGTTCACAGCAGCACTATTCACAGTAGCCAAGACATGGAAACAACCTAAATGTCCATTGAGATGAATGGATAAAGAAGATGTCGTACATATATACAATGGACTACTACTCAGCCATAAAAAAGAACAAAATAATGCCATTTGCAGCAACATGGAGGCAACTAGAGCTTACCATACTAAGTGAAGTAAGTCAGAAAGAGAAAGACATATGATGTCACTTATATGTGGAATCTAAAATACGGTACAAAGGAACCTATCTATGAAACAGGAGCAGACTCACAGACATAGAGAACAGACCTGTGGTTGCCAAGAGGAGGGGATTAGGGGAGGGATGGACTGGGAGTTTGGGGCTAGTAGATGCAAACTATTACATGTAGAATGGATAAACAACAAGGTCCTATTGTATATCCTGAGATGAACCATAATGGAAAAAAATATAAAAAAGAATGTATATATGTGTATAACTGAGTCACTTTGCTGTAGAGCAGAAATTAACACAACATTGTAAATCAAGTATACTTCAATAAAAAATAAATTAAAAAAACACATTTCATGAAATTTCATGATTTCAGAATATCAAACCTGCAGTTTAAAGAAACATAAATTTATATTAAACAAAGTAATGAACATAAAATATATTTTGTAAGCTTCAAATCATATAAATGAAAAATTTTACCATTTTAACTTGAGTGCATATCACTTTACGTGACCTCTAATAACACTGACAAAGTATATTCATTTGATTTTGATACATGCCAAATGATTTATTACCATTGCTTGATTTTTTTTTTTTTACAAAAAGCAGAACAATGGAAAACCAGTAAGTCATAATGGGTTGTAGAAATTAGTTTCAAAAACAATTCAGTTTTATAATATTTATAAGGTATTTAACGCTATTTAAAGCAAATTCGCACCCCCCAAGCTTTAGTTTTAAAGTTTATTCTTGTGGGAGCCAGCATAGAGAAACGGAAAGAACCCAAATTTTGCAGTCAAATAAACCTGAGTTCAAACACAGTTTCCATCTCTTACTAATACTATGGAAATGGTTGTATAGTGTGGTTGATTAGCTTTAAAACTATTTTGCAGGAACTGAGAAATGCTGAACCAAATTCTTTATTTTGTATTCATAAATAATTATAATACTGTTAACATTTTAATTTTTTTTAGCAGTACACCCATTCTAAACTATTTAAGAAATATTTACCACACTGAGAGATAATTAAAAAGGTTGCTGTTCTCATTTAAAAATATTTTCCAATTCTTAAATACTGTGTACCATTCTGGTTACTGAACCATAAGAGGGAAATAATAGCTGGGAAAGGTAGACAGAAGAACAGCCACAGTAATTCAAGGAAATAGAGGAAGGATTTTCACACTAAAAACTTTTCAAAGAAAAGCCTTTTGCAAGGAACACAGAATTCTTAGAGACGAAGTGTTACAAAGTCAAAGAATGTAGAGGTTGTACCTCAGTGGTGTGATATTTAGATGGGATCTGGCCACAAGGCCCAGAAACGCTAGAGTCCTGCCATTGATCAGCTACCCCTCTCTGTGAGGTCGCTGAGGAAAGAACATGGACTGAGGAGTCAGGCAACATAAAGAAATTCTACATTTCTAGGTGGTACCTAGGTCTTAAGGCTACAAACTCCCCTTTAGAGATCTGTAAATAAACTAGGATACACCTATGAAGAGCTCCTTTTGTCTAAGTTAGGTTAGGTCCAGTGGACAAAAATCAGATCAGACAGAAAGCATATAAAGCCTGCTTTACCACTTCCATTTCCAGTCTCAAAGCCAACTCTACCCCAGGAAAGAGTAATCTAGACTGTTGCAGATGTGAAAAGCCAGAAGGAGGATGTGAGAGCCTTCACCAGTGCCTACAGCAAAATGCCTGGCATCTGAATTTGCTTTTTGGGGTCCCCATATAGTTGAGTATCTAGTTTCTTAGTAGGAAGAGGAGGTATCCAAAGTACTATAATATTTTTCTTATCATTTTATTCATCTCTCTTGTCATCTCTTGTTATGAATTACACACGTCTCTTTTTCCATTAGATATAGAACCCTTGAGGATGAAAACTTTCTTATATCTTTGTATCCCCATAACTTAGCAGGATACTGAACCTACAGCATATGCCAGTAAGCGTTTTTTAAGTGACTAAATGATTATTCAGGAAGCTACTGAGTAGGAAAAAAGGTACTACAGATACATTCTTGAGAGGCAGATAAGGCTTGTATGGAGAGCATTCTAACATATATGGAACAATTAAGCCACAATAAATGACCCACAGAATTGAGTACTGAACCGTGTCCTCCAGAGTATAAATAAGTACACATTTGTAGTAGGAACACATTAAAGTACTGTAGCTCATTTGGGGGTAAGGCATGGTCAAGATAGGATAGGATTTGTTTAAGCCTTTAGAATGGTTAGAATCTGGATGGAATCCTTGCTGGGAAAAAACAAAAAAATCCTGAGACAACTTTTAGGTGGATTCTGACATAGACTCCTTAAGGCCTTTGAAGAAGCCTGGTTTCTTTCGCCTAAGGTTAAGAGACTCCTTGGTTTAGTGGGGTGGACTGGGCTTTCTCAAGGTCTTTACTTATACACAATGTAATAAATCAATGCTGCCGTTGCCTGGTATCTGACAACAGGAGCAGCTTTCAGTTACCTGAATTTGCATTGCTTCGGTTGGTGAGTTTTTCGTCTCCTTCCCCCGGTTCTCTGTTTCTTGTCACCACCACCTTCTGGGGTTCTCTTAGCACCCTTTGCACTATCTATGGGATAAAGTCAGAGTGCTTTACCCCTGGGGTGCGAGTATAGTCGTGGTAGGAGTTGGGGATGAGGTTGCGGAAGCATTTCCCTTTGCACTAAGGCTTTTCTCTCACAGTAGTTGCTAGTCTCTTCCCAGCCGCCCTGACTTAAAGGGGAAATGGACCACGGTCAAATTACCCCTAACGCCTTCCAAAGCGTTTTCTAGAGCTTTTCTGAATCGCGATGCAACGCGATAAAAGGAACAGCGGGCCTCGGCCCCGCCCTCTGCTGGAGGACGCCGAGAGCGCGGGGCGGAGCGAGTGGGGAAGGCGTGCAGCTCGGTGCGCATGCTCCCAGGGCTCGGCCAGGGAAAAGCGCTTGAACTTCTCTCCCAGAGACTTCCGGGTGGAAAGAAACGGGCGGAGCCAGCTCCGGAAGCAGAGGGGTGGGCGCCTACTATTTAACCTCCTTCCTTGGAGGAGCGCTTCCGCTCTCGCTTGGTGAACGGATGAGCCTGCGGGAAGACTTCTCTGTGCTCATGCTGCTTTTCAGTTTTCCACGCGGCTAGAAATCGACCTGGGAGTATGCTGACACCAGTGAGCAGGTGGGGCGATAGCCCCTGCGCTAGCATCTCCATTTACAGAAGTTTTTCCTAGGCCTCCAGAAATTGTTGACGGCTTCTTTTTGCTCCACATCTCTTCTAGCCTCCCTGTTTTTAATCCCTTTGCAGCCGCCCACCCTTCCCCCCACTCTATTATGTATGCTCGGGCTCCCCGTGTGCTTAGATTGGCTGAAACTGGCAGCACTGAGGATCTTGTGGGTCCTGGATCCTACCAGGTGCCTTTCCTGAAGCAGCAGGCAACAGGTAAGGTGTAGAGAAAGGCAAGCCTTCTGTAACAGGCACCTCACTTTCAGCCTGCTCCGCTTCTGTGCGCCTGAGTTAAAACACTGTAGTACCACTTCATAAATATAACACATGAAGTAGGCAGGGAAAATACTATCCTTATTTTACAGATGATAACTGGTAAAATAATTTGTCTCATTTCACAAGGCCAGTAAGCGTGTGGCGAAGACTTGATTTTACAGTGGCTGTCCACATCATACTTTAAATGGTACAGATTAGATCTAGGATTTTTATTTCCTGGCCCCGTTGAGTATGTGAGTCTCCAAATCTCCTGTGTACTTCTTACCGCTTTCTGTGTCTTTTCTTTGTAATCCTGCCTGCCTCACACACCTTTCCTAACTAACCAGAGAAACGTTAATTTACTGAGATATAACTTTTATATTTCTGTTTTGGAATACCTTTTAAAGATAGTCCCATGTATTTTTTCAGGTAGATGCTTCCTGTCTTACCATACCCATCTTTTTCAATATACTTAACGAGAGCCTGTTTATCCCACATTCTGTAAAGAAAAGCTGTACTCTTTGAGAGGTGGGGTGGGAATGGGTAATTTAATTATTTGCTCTCATTTGTTAGCAATTTTAATGGCTAGGGGGTGACTTTTAATAAATACTTATAATTTGCTTTCTGCTTTTTCTAATCTGATGATTTTTGTGGGGCTTAATACCATCCAGATTACACTTTTTGCCTTGTTAGCCTGCATTTTCCCTATTGTCACACTGTTCCTGTATTTTTAAACAAATGCCAAGATCCATATTCTGTTAACATGTTTGATGAGATTAGGGTATTAGGTTGATTTAAGTTTCTTTGGAGTACAAATTTGTCATTTGTCATTGTTTTAATCTTGAATTTTACTGCTTTTCAGCTTCTGCTATTGATATCAGTGTTCTTGGAGCTTATTATGTGTGTTTATGTAATGCAGCTGAGTCCTTATAAGCATTAACTCCCTACCAATTTATTAGCCACCGACGACCACCGAAAATGCTAACATTTATGATACTTTTCAATCCTTATTTTATTTTGACACAACCGACCATTGTCTTTTTAGAGCTATTTCTTCCCTTGGTGTCTGTAACATCATTTTTTCCTGGTTCTTTTTCCAACTATTGTCTTGGAACAGTGCCTGATACATGGTTGGGACCTAGCGAACATTTGTTAAATGCTGAATCAGGTATCATTTTTCTGCTCTTCAACCAACCCTCCATAGTCTTCTTTAAAGGGTTTTATTTTTCTAAATACCTTTTAAATGTCTATGTACTGTACTTCCCATCCTTTGCTTGTTGCTTTTCTCATGTTTACTTTTTCATTCAAATCCATAGCTTCAACTGCTATCTATATTCTGATTCTGATGACTCCCTAACAGTCTTTAGAGATACAGGTGATTCATATCTCTAAGACGAGCTTTCCCCGGATCATCAGGCCTTTGCATTGCCAATTACTTCTTTTGGACATCTATACCTGGGTGGTCTCTGGCATCTGAAATTCCAGGTGTTTGAACTTATCATTTTCCCTACCATCACAGACCCCTTTGAAAAAAAATGCCATGTCAGTTGCTTATAAACTGTTAGCTTTGGAATTATTTTAGACTCCTTTTTTTTCCTCTGACTGGTCACTCCCATTGATCATTAGAACCTATTGATTTTCTCTTCTCATTCTCTCTCAAACTGGTTCCCTTTCTTCATTTAACTGCCCTTGACTTAGTTTGGGATTTGTTATTTTTATTCTGAAATAGACCAATAAAATATTACTGGTTTCTCTGTTTCAGCCTCTAACAACTTCTGTCTTATGGCTAATGTAATCTTCCTAAGATATAATTATGTTATTTGTTTAAAAAACTCCTTTTAACACTAAGGTTAAAATCTGAACTCCTTAACATGCTGCATGAGATTCTTCATGATCCCTAACCTGGTCTCTCACTTAACCTGATCTTTCCAGGCATCACACCTTCACCAGCACTTAACCTACATATCAGCAATTCCAACTTTGCATTGTCTATAAATTCATGTTCATTCACCTCCATGCCTTTGTACTTGCTGCTACCTTTGCTGAGTAATCTCTCTTTTCTTTCCTTACTTGGCTAATTCCTACTTATTCTTTGAGCCTTGGGTAAAGTGAAGTTGTTCTTTGACTCCACTCTGTCTCAGGTCTTTCTTCTTTGACTCCTAATGACTCAAAGCACCTTGATACTATATTGTAATTATCTGTTAACTTATCTGGCTGCCCCATTAAAGTGTGAGATTATTGAGGGCAATAACCGAGATCTCGACTGTGTTAGTCTCAGTTTTTAGCTCAGTACCTTAACACGTATGTAAAAGAAATAAACAATAATTCTTAAAAGAAAGTTAAAAAAAATCTAATGAGTTACATATAGCAGAATTAAAAACTTATAATTTGACTTGTGTGAACTTTGCTTAGAGATCAGTAACTGGGGTTTGCAAGGCCCTTCTTTTACTGTTTTATAGAATTGTGCCTTGTTGACCTATGAAGGAAACTAGGAAATTCCATATTTGGGAACTTTGAGCAGCTGCATCCTATAGAACTCTATTTTAGTAATACTCAGCACTGACATGCTAATAATAATAATCAATAGAGGTTATAGGTGTTTCTTTAGTCATTTCTCTACAGGATTCCCTGGCAAGATAATTTAAAAGTAGCTGTTACCTCTTTCCTAGGTACATTCTGCTTTACACCTCTTTGAGGTCAGTAACACTGGACTATACAGAAGTATACACACTTATTTAAGGGTCAGGGAAATTTTGTAGAGTATGATGTAGGAACAGCGATGTTGGGACTTTATGTAATTTACTTGTTACCTTGAATTACACAAGAGGAGAAGATCTTAGTCTTAGAACTTCAAAAGAAAGGTGCAGATACTCTTTATTCTCAACCTTTCTCTTCTAATTATCATTTTCCTCTTACTGTAGGCTGCTTGGTCAGTCCTCCAGTGTGTTGTCTTCATATTTTCCTCAGAAAATTCTTTCCACATTAATTTTCAAACTTCATTGCCTTGACTTTTGTCCAGTTGATCAGGGATTTCTACCCAGGATTTGCAGCCGGAAAGGAATAGGACTCAGCTGCTCTGATTTCATGAGTGGGAGAGATAATGGATATTCTGATTCCAGATAAGTGACAGCTGCTCCTGATTTTCTTGCAAATTATCTGAGAAGCAAGCAAATCTTATCTCATTAAAGCAAAGCTTTCCCATAAACGACCAGCCTAGTAAAATATGATAAAAACATAGTCCTTTTAATAATGTGACTGCTCCTGGCATTATTGTGCTGAGGAGTATTTCATTGCTTTTTGAGCTTGATTTACATAACAAATAGTACCCCATGTTAGCATATATTAGTTATCTGTCCTGGTTCTATGTTAGTTATCTAGGCTGGGTGACAGTGGTTCTTAATATATTCTTTGCTAAATTTCTTCTTTGATGGGAAAGCATTTAGTTTTATCTGCCACAGAAGCATGAGCTGTCCATGGTCTTGTACTCCTGCCTACGTGCTTATGCCGGCAATAATGGTTTTATCTTATTAGCCGTTCAGAATTTAGGGAGAACATTTCAGGGAATTCTATCTTTATTTAAGTTTAAATAAAAATATGTATGTGATTGCTATATAAATGTTGATGTCCCCGAAGATGAGTATATGTTTCAAAGATCTAGCTATTGCTTTTACGTGAAGAATGCCCTGCTTGCTTTGTACAGTAGTTGTGGCTGCAGAACTTGTCCTTTATCCCACGCCCCCGACCTCCTTTCTCAAAAATTAGACTGACTTTTATTGCTTCATGCCAGTCTGATTTCTGCTGTTGGTGCCACAAACTTAATATATCTCAAATTGAACTTACTTCGTTCATCTCGAATCTTATCTTCTCCTATATTCATTTCTTCTTTCTACCTGACAGTTTGATTTATCATTTATTGTTGGAACTTAACATGTCAGTATAGTCATATGTCCCAAATCAAACTTTAAATTTTTCACTCCACCAACCCTAATGTGCCAGAATCGTCTTCTCCTATATTTTGTATCTTAATTATTAGCAGCACTGTTAGTAATGTAATTGTTTGTTTATTTGTTTGGCTTCCCCCCATTTGAGGCAAAGGTTTTAGCTTATTCATTATTGTACCCTAACTGCCTCTTTCTGACATGTAATAAAGCATTCAGTATTGCTAAATGAATGACGAAAGGTGTAGTTTAGAATATCACCTATTAATTCTATATTTATTGTTTAATATGCACGACAGTATGACAGGGAGACCAACCATCCTGGTTTATCTGGGAATGTCCTGACTTTAGCACTACAAGTCCTGTGTCCTGGGCAAACTAAGACAGTTTGTCACCCTAACTGTACACAGTAGGCATACAGTTATGAATAAAACAGAAAAGTCCCTTCTCTTCTGGAGCTTATTAGTATAAACATTTAAATTTTCTTGTGGTTTTACTTGAGCTCAATATTTCGTACAAACTTTTAACCTATTGATGAAAGATTCTTTTGTGATTAATATTGGGAAACTTTGAGTACTGGCCTTCTTGAACACATGGGGCTATTGTGTAGGGGTTTTTTTCCCCATTTTTATATGAATTTCAGTATTTTGCAATTCATTTTATGTTTCTTTAAATAGATTCAGTTAGAATCTCCGCCATGTTCTGATGACAGCTGCCTCAGAACTAGCCTGAGCTTAGCTTTCTTAGTTTTCATATCTATCTCACATTACCTAAATGAACATAAATTTAAAAAAAATATACCTTTAATTGTGAGATGAAATACTGATGCAGAAAATTGCATAAAATTTAAATAACTTAAAAAGTGAATACTCAAGAAATACAACATTGCAAAATTGTCTTTTCCAACCGTAACCCTTTCCCTCTCCCCTACAGGTAAGGACTATTCTAATTTTTATGGCAATTAATTCCTTGCTTTTCTTTATGGATTATTAAACCATATTGATGAAATGACCCCTTTAACATAATGAAATGTCTCTCTTATTCCTGGTATTCTTTGTTCTAAAATCTGCTTCGTCTGATTTTAATTTAGTCACTCCGGCTTTCTTTGATACATGGATGCGTGGTATATCTTCTTTCATCCTTTTATTTTTAACCTCTGTGTCTTTATGTTTTAAGAGTGTTTCCTATAGACACCATAAAGTTGGGTCTTGCTTTTTTATCTAATCTGACAATCTCTTTTAGTTGGGGCATTTAGAACTTTTCCATTTAATTTCACTATCAATATTGTTGTGTTTAAATTTAATCTCTTGCTATTTGTTATGTATTTATCTTATCTGTTCTTTGTTTCTCTTCTTCTTTCGCTAACATAGTTGAATGATTTGAGTTTTTACAAAAATGGTTCTGTTTTTATCTCCACTATTGGTTTACTAGCTGTACCTCTTTCTTTTATTACTTAGTGGTTGCTCTAGGGTTCACAATATACATCTCTAACTTATCACAATCTACCTTCAAATAATATTGTACCACTTCATGTGTAGTATATGAGCCATACAACAGTGTGCTTCTGTTTTCCCCATCTCATTCTTTGTGCTATTGTGGCCATATATTTTATTTCTACATATGCTGTAATGCCACAATGAATTGAAATTATTTTTGATTAAAACAGTCAATTTTTTTTAAAGTGATTAAGAATTGAGAAAAAAATGTCTTTTATTAACCCATATAAAATTAGTTGTTAATCCCATTCAGTATACTTTTCATTTCAGAAGTTTGATTTGGGTCTTTTTTATATCTTTATCCTACCTTATTGAACATATGAAGAATGTTTATAATAGATATTTAATGTTTCTTGTGCTAATTCCATCTTCTCATTCCTAAATGTGTTTGTTTTCATTGACTTTTCTCCAGTTTATAGGACATATTTTCCTGCTGCTTGGTAGAACACTCTCTGGTTGTTTTCACTATTCACTGTATATAATCTGTAGCTTGGTTTCTGTGTGCTTATATGTGTGTTTTGATTGAAATCTGTATCTTGTTCTTTGGTTGCTTACCCTGATTTGGAACATTTCAACTGCTGTCCTGGGTTTCTCAGAACTTGGCTTCCTTTTAAGGATTTCTGTTATGGTCCTTGTGTTGTTTTGTTTGTTTGTTTGTTTTTGCTTTGGGGTAGCAAATTCAAACCATCAGTCACTAAATTAACACCCAGAGTTTTAACATCATTCATGAAGCTTTTTCTAATCACCTCAGTGTGGTTGAGAACTTCTCTTTTTGACCCTCTGGGCATTTTTTAGCACTTCAGATATTTTTCCATGTTTAAAATTATTTTAGTACTTTTCTTAATGCTTCAGTAGGTTGTTGCTTTTTAAGGGTAAGGTCTGCATTTGACTCACCTCTTTTGTGCTTTAATACCCAACACAAATTTTGATTTCAGTTGCATTTTAATACATGAAGGCCTCAAAAGAAACATTATTTCTGGTTTTAAAAATATATTATTAGTCCAGATTAGCAAGCTTTTAAACTGTACTAATTATCACCATAAATCTGCATAGTGTACATTGTCCTTAGTTGTACAAGATTCTCACAAGTTTTGAGTCCTCACTTTCATTCTTTTATTACCTGTTGAATATAGCTGCTCTATTTTCTGTCATTTTTTCTTTAGTATCTATGTTGATTAAACTATGCTCATTTTCTTGCTATATTTCTTGAAAATTTTTATCAGTCTTTCAGAAGACTAAATCTGTCTACTAAGTTTTCTTACTGAGTATGTCTCTGCTTGTATCTTGGATTTATAAACCTTTGTTTGGGGTCAGGCAATGAAGAAAATATTTACCGAGTGCCAACTATGTACCAAAGCGAGGAAACATATTAATTACTTGCCGTAAGCTCACTCTAAATTATTTCTATCTAGGCTCTGCCTATAAATTCATATATGCTATTCTCTATAATTAATATGTTTTTCCAATATATAAAACTATGATCTTCTGAGGATGAATATATTTTATCAGTTAAATAGAATTTCAATTTTCATCTCAACCAAATATGCTTAGAAGAAAAAAGACTTGTTTTGTTTTCTTTAGATATTTTTTCTGGTGTTTAGTAAGTCCAGTTCTGTAGGTTCTTATATTTAATGTATATTAATACAAATTATGCTCTTACATAAAATTTTTGAAATGCAAAAACTTCTGTGGCTAGACATTAGTTCTAATAATACAGTCTCAGCAGTTGAGGTTACCAAATGATTTTATACATTTTGAGTGCTTTTTCTCTGAAATTATCAGAATCCTATCTTATCTGCCGGTGATATGATTTTACTTTCATAAGTGGCTATGCACCATTCCTTTCTTTGGCTGCCAGAGAAAGTACTTTTACTGTTGCCTCTAACACTGAGAAAGCTGTTCCAGGTCCAGGACACTATAATGTTTCAGAGGTGCAGGTAAATTTATAATAGTTATTATAATTGTCTGAGCTAATAAAAATCATGCTTTCTTCCTCTAATAGACTAACATGTCATTTGTCATATTTTATTTTCCCTTCATATGATCTTCTTTTACCTTTCAATCTATATTTTGCAATTAGAATAAGAGAAAAACAAATGTGTTCACTGTCGGTTGTCTGGTTGGGTGTTTGTCATTAATCCACGTATTCTATAAGACATAAAACATTGTTACATGCCTCATAGACCTTGAGATTCCTGAATGGGAGAATAGGACTACTGAATTGATTAAGGCCCATGAAAGTTGTGCAGATGGTCAAAATATGTAGAATAAGGATGGCAACAGAGTGAAGGAATTGGTTTGTGTGCCATATTCTAAAGCTATAGCTATTGCCATTGTCTTCTATTTCTCAAGAGTCTGTGACCAGAATATCTTCACTGGTCCATTTATGTTCAGAAACAGTGGTTCTAACTCCAGTCTTTATAATCGTTAATATCAGGTTTTCCCTTTTCATGTAAATTTTGTACTCATTCATAATGACTCCTACTTGACCCTAGCAGACCTTTATCTCCCCTGTTGGAGGCCCAGATCAAGTCATTGATGCCTTAATTTTTACATCAGATTTTCTCAATTATTAATGGCAATGATTCTACCAGTTAGGGGTTTTTGGTTGCAAGCAATAAAATGGATTTTTAAAACAGATCCTAGGTTTATCATAGATTTATAGGTAAGGTACTTGGGTGGCTCATAGACTTGAAGGAAGAATTGAGCAGTCAGGACTTAAAGAAGGATAGGACTAAGATAATCCCAGGTATTTCGGTAGTAAGAACTTCTGCATCATTCAATGGGAAACTGCCATTAGATAACTTAATTCTATAACTTCTTCCACTTTTTATGTGTGACAACACTCACGATTAAAATCCCCAGTAGGGAAAATCTGATTGGTCCAGTTTTATTATGGACCCACACCTATGATTCCTGGGCCAGGGGTTCCTGTGTTTAGAAGCTCCTTTAAAATCACAAAATATAGGGGAGGTTTGATTGTCCCAAGGGTGGCAAATATGCTGTTACAAGCAGATAATAGAAGGGATGCTGGACAGATAAAAACAATAGATTTCCATTATTTTTCACCCCTTGACTGCCTAGTTCTCTCTCATGCACACAGCATACACACACTTCTTCCCATATATATAATTTTAAAAGTGCAATTATTTTATGTATAATTTTCCTTCCCAGAAGGAGCCAAATTAGTATCTAGCTACTGCATTCAAAGATGGTATTACAGTGTCACTGCTAAATGAATCCTGGATCTCTAGATTTAGGCTATTTCTTGTTCTTGAATATTCCTGTTTCATTATTCTGCAACTTATAGATTCGATGGTAAATATAACATGAGCTATTATAAAGAACTGGTTAGGATTGTGGAGGTAGACTGGAGCTAGCTCTAGACTACCTAGATTCAAAATCCATCTCTGCTGCTTACTAGCTTTGAGTTTTAATCTTAACCACTTAATCTCTTTGGGTCTTAGTTTCCTCATCTATTAAGTAGGGGTAATAACTTGGTAGGCTTTTTCTAAGGATTAAATATATTAATAAGCATTTAGAATAGTGCCTTATTATAGTTGGCACTCAATAAATTTTAACCATTATTAGTGTTGCCATTTTATAATAGAAAGGGGAAAAAATAGAGGAAAAATGAAAGGAAGTGTTGTATGAAGCAAGGAAATACAGGTGGGGACCTGTTCTGTTTCTGTAACTGGACACGAGGCTACGGGTAGCTTAAGATTTTTCCATTACTCGTTCCATGTTCCCCATGTCTTCAACAAGAACTTTATCCAGTAGAGTTCTAAGCTTAGTGGGATCACCAGACTCTTCAGATCTAAGGCGTCTCAGCTCTTGGTTCTTAGGCTTGCTTTTTAACCTTTAAATAAACTTGCTCTTAGCATTTTCACTGGCTTACTTAGTAGGCTCTGCAGGGTGTTCCCTGTGTTCCATCCCACCACACTCTTCTTGGCTCTCATTAGTCCTGTTTCTCTGTCCGGGTCAGGGTTAATCACCCCAGCCAGTACACAAACCTTATTTCGTTTTCTGCTTGGTAGCGTAAAGAACCTGGAATGGCCAGCTGGTGGTTCAACTTCCAATTCAGGGAAACATGTCTTGCTTCTCCCTGGCATCTTAAAACTTTCAGAAAACTAGAGCCTAAAGCACAAAAAGCAAAACAGTAAATAGTGGGACATTAGACTTAATCGTTAGAAGTGTCACTCCTGCCTACACTCCATGGCTCACAGACCAGACCAGCATATTATGGGTATATGGGCTCGCTAGTTCTACCAGTATTTCCCTCATTAAGCCTGATCTGTAACTCCGGTGTTCTAAGAGGGAAATGTAATAAAAAAACATAATAGGTAGATTTCAAACTTGTTAAATGTGACAGGTATCAAGATGTTGGAGTGTTATTTTATTTTATTTTAAAATTTATTTATTTATTTATTTTTGGCTGTGTTGCGTCTTTGTTTCTGTGTGAGGGCTTTCTCTAGCTGCGGAGAGCGGGGGCCACTCCTCATAGCGGTGTGCGGGCCTCTCGCTGTCGTGGCCTCTCTTGTTGCGGAGCACAGGCTCCAGACGTGCAGGCTCAGTAATTGTGGCTCATGGGCCTAGTTGCTCCGCGGCATGTGGGATCTTCCCAGACTGGGGCTCGAACCCGTGTCCCCTGCATTGGCAGGCAGATTCTCAACCACTGCACCACCAGGGAAGCCCTGGAGTGTTATTTTATATTAATACTGATTTTAGTCAGTTCCTGTAAAATAATATAAAGTGCAATTTAGATCAAATTTTATTCCAAATTGGGTACATTTCTTGGATTTCAAGAATAAGAAATTAGGAAGGGTGCTTTTTTGTATAATAGATGATCTAAGAAAAAGAGTTCTGGTATTCTCTACTTTTCTTCTTAAAATTATAAACAAGTGCCAAGAGATGATTGATTTCCTTTGTTTAAAAAAATGACTTATTACTTATTTACATAGTTGCTGTTGATTTTTTTGTAGTTTTAGGCTAAATTCTTGCAGAACTTTTAGAAGTTCAAGAAGTGTGAATTTATCATACTATTTGAAAAATAAAGGGCATTTCATTTTATTTTATTTTATTTATTTATTTATTTTTGCAGTACGCAGGCCTCTCACTGTTATGGCCTCTCCCGTCGCGGAGCACAGGCTCCGGACGCGCGGGCTCAGCGGCCACGGCTCACAGGCCCAGTCACTCTGCGGCATGTGGGATCTTCCCGGACCGGGGCACGAACCCATGTCCCCTGCATTGGCAGGTGGACTCTCAACCACTGCGCCACCAGGGAAGCCCAGGGCATTTCATTTTAAATAGCTGAATTAGGAAACATATTTGTAATGTGACATAGGTTACATATTCTGTAAATAATTAATATATTAGATAATAATTAAAGGGATAATCTTACTGGAAATTAATGCATGTATTTAACAACTTATCTTTATACTTTTCTTTTGGAAGCATAGGTTGACATGTTGCTTTCTGTCAGAAGTTAGTAAATATTATTTGGAGACTTCACATGAAATTAAAAAAAAACAAAAATGTGGGTTGTATTTGTGAGGGCCCACCTCCACTGCTAAATACAGAATACTTGAAGCTTTTATAAAAGCAGAATATTTGGGAGTTGAAATTCTTTTCCCCTATTTGGTCTCCTCTATTTCTCTCTTCCTCTTATGGTTATTTCACTTTGGCTATGGTTGTGGCCATTATTCACAAGTTGGGGTTGGGGGTATAAGTTTTGCCTTTATAGCTCTTGCCCAGTTATAGGCAAAACAATTTCCTTTGTTTCCTTTAGCATATCTGAAGCATGTTACTTTTTTTCAAAAGGAAAAGAAAAATAGAAAGCATAAAGGAAATTTGCTTAGTGGAAAAGAACATAAAGGAAATTAAGAAAATAAAAGAAGCAGAAGAATCAAATTTACAAAGTACAAGCTTCTGATCCTTTGATAATTAACTTATTAAGTCATGTAATTTGTTTTGTTCATATCCTGTTTCCTAGGATGATTCCCACTCCAGAATTTCAGTATAAATGTCACTTATGTTTTCTGGTTGTCTTCTAGTTTCAGACCTGTTTCTGCATGGCAGATACCGTTTTGTTCCTTGTTACATGAGAATGGTTCTAGATGTGGGGATGTCTTCCCTGGGTCCAGATAAATAGTTTATTTCTTACTTCTCACTAGCTAGGCCTAGGAATAGATGTCCAGATTAGGTTTGATTTTTGATTGGAGAGATACACCTCATTAGAGCTGAATGATAGTCTATCATATGTGATACAGAGCATGACCTCACACTTCATATGAGACTCTGCTTCCTGTAGAGCTGAGAGATTGCTGACAATATAAAAATTCATCAAATAGCCTTTGCATATAGACAAAGCATAGTTCTCAAGAAGCACTAAGACCATTGTCTCACAGGTTTTTATATAAAATGTATAATTACTTAGTAATATAATTTTGGGTCATTTATCTGACATATGCAAGTTCCTTTTGTAACCATTTGTAAAATAGAATTGGTAATTATGAATAATCTGAAAAAATCCTGGTTAATTTGTACACAGTTAAAAAAAATCAAATTGATTTTACTATCCTCTGTTGAAGTATTCAATATAAATTCAAATTGCAGTTTGAAATGTCAGATCGTAGAGACTATAGTAATGGCTTGCAAAGAATGAAAATTTGAGATCTTTTCTTTTCACATGATTTTATTATTTAATCTAACTTGTTAATTTTTTCACAAAATCATTAAAGTCTACTCTTATAGATCCAAACTCTTTAAACATAAGAATTGTGATCTTATTAAAACAGTAATCAAGTAGCTAATTGACTATCTAATTTGACTCATTTTTTTAAAAAGAAGACCTCTTTTGTGTATTTCTTAAAAGCTGAATAAAGCTGAATAAGATGCAAACTAAAGATAAGCTCAGTTAATAGTGAATGTGAACAACTGACATGTACACGTCATGTGAAAAGGCCTGTTGGTAAATCAATAACAAAAAAACCTTATCTGATCAATCAAATGCCAACAACTGTTGGGTTGGCCAAAAAGTTTGGGTCTTTCCATAACAGCGTACAAAATCCCGAATGAACTTTTTGGCCAACCCAATGTTAATATGAATCATCTTTGCAGTGATTGAACTGTGACTGTTTAGTGAAACTAGTATGATGGAATTTTATTTGAATTAACTGGCTATTAGCCAGTTGATAAATTTCAGATTCTAGAGGATCCAGATATGTGGCATGGAGAGCCATGGACAATTCCTCCCAGGACTCTTCTCTGCAATAAACAATGTTTAAAGCTAATCTGAGCATAAAACCGAGCTGTTGCCAATAAAACTGTGTAAACATCTCTGGAAATGACCAAAATGTTATTCATGAAAATAATTAATCCTAAACAAGCTTGGAAGGTTTGCTTTTCCCCTCCAATACGAGCATTTTTAGCTCATTTCTGAGGTATAAGTTCTCCAGGGGCCTGTAAACATAAGCATACACTCTTTATTCTTGCTTCACAGCTTTGGAGATTCCTTTGTGTTTGATTCCTGTTTTAAAACTGAGTGTTGCATTCTCTTAGAGTGTTCAAAGTACAGTAAATTTTAGTTTGAGTTCAGCATTAAAACTGACAGCTCTAATTGTCATCCTTTCTTATTACCCTCTCTCATTAGACAGTTGTCTTCAGTCAAAAGCCTTAACTTTCTCAGGCTGAGTTTTAAAACTATTAATATTCATATTAATATGTAATATTTATCAAATAGGTATTAATTTTAAAGTGTTTCTTTTAATTATTTCATTTTTTCTCTACAATTTAGTATAATATAAAAGGAGGCCAAAGTCTACAAAACTGGGAGAAATGTTTTAAGAAGTTTATTTCAGATGGTCCAGGGCCAGCAAGCTATGATCAGTCTTATCCTGGAACGTTAGCTATGAACAGAAAAATACTAGAGGCTAAAGAGCATCTTCAGTCAGTACATGCTATTTTGAATTATGCTTCTAAGGCCTTTTTTTAAAATTAAAATAAAGTAGAAATGGTTTACTGTTTTATGTGATTAGTACATTTAAAAAACTTACCATAAAAATTAGTAGGTTTATTAGTATCCATATTGTAGTTTATAATTAAATGAATATTTGATGTTTATAAACTTTAGTTTTTAACCATGTTAATATTTGACTTCACTTCTGCTTTTGATAAATCTATAATATCTCTTCTAATGTCTGTGGTGAACAGAAAGTAAGGGAGATTTAAAAAACTGGCTGAGTGGTTTACCTCTCTATATAGAGGAAACTCCTGTGTAAGTACTGTTAATAACACCGTGAAATTTGAAACATGACTCCTGAAATAAATAAGCTCAAAATTTAGATGAGAGAGATAATATAGATCATTACTAATGTAAGATGAAATGTGACAGGTGCTAAGTGAATGATCATGTGATTAAATGCCATAGGAATTTAAAGGAAGAAGATGTATTTCATAACAGCTTATGGAAAAACCTGAACGAACTTTTCGGCCAACTCAATGTTATGAGAGAGTCTAATTTGTAGGGGATTTATAGAGGAGGTTGGCTTTGAAGAATAGGGTTGGAATATGCATTCTAGGCATGGAGGACTACATGAGTGCAGATAGAGAAGTGGGATCTTATGGAGGACAATGAGATTATTTTGACTGGAGTGAAGAATTTGTGTAGGAGATTAGCAGGTGATATGTTTGGAAAGGTACATTGGTGTTATATAAAGAATAATCTTTACACCAAAAGCCTACCCCTTTGAAATAATTAATAAAATCTAGCAGATTTTGGTCATAGTTTATTTAGCATAGTTCCCTCTCCTCTTTCCATAACAACTTCACATAGCTCATATTAATTAAATTTTAATCAGTTCTTTGTTTAGGAGGATATATTTTAGGGCTAAGTACTCAGTTGAATAATGTCAGTGTAATGACAATAAGGTTAAGGTTTATAAGTATACTTAAATATCAGCTCTTTCATGTGTGTGGACAAAGTAAATGTTCATTTACTCATGAAAGTGTTTATCAGACATTTTTTGAGTAACTATGTGAACCAGACATAATGCTAGGCACTGATAATACTTAGAAGATAAATCACTGCTCCCTGGGATCTATAACTTTAACAGGGAAGTAATGAATGGAATTCAGCACAAAACAGTTGATGAAATGCTATTTTAATAAACATTTAATAAAAATTTTTACTAGTAGCCCGAAGTAGATAGTTGTTGGAGGGAATTAGGGATATCACAAACTGGATGTTGAAGAAGCATTCACTAAGGTTGGGGCTACATTTTGGAAAGTCTTGACATCATGCAAATAATTTTTGAAAGTAGTGAATGGAGGGGAGGCCATTCAATACTTTCCTGTTTTAATTTGGTAACCAGTCTCATAAGCATCACTGAAACTACTTAATAGTTGTCTCTAATGATAAAAAAAAGTGAAATTCTGCCAGTGATAGTATGTTTATGACACAGTTGTATATTGGGCATGTGTGCAGTCAACTCTAGCATTTATTTATTTATTTAAAACCTACAGAGGATCAATATATTCTTTTTTTGATAGAAGTTGCAGACTCTATTTTTATTTTTTAATGAATATATGAGCTTCCCTTCATTTTTTCCTTGTTGGTTATCTATTTTAAATATATCTATTATAAATATATTCTTAATAAGTAATTTTTCATATTACTAAATTATTTAAATGCCAGTATTTTATTTGATGTATTCTATACTGGTATTTCTAATATATGTTACTCCTTTCTGTTTTTACTTAAATTATAAAATGTTTTCCATTAAAGGAAATTTTGAAAAAAGGATAAGCACCTTAAAACTTCTGACTCTAACATTGATAATTCTGTTAATTTTTGCAAAGTTCTTTTCAGTATCAAATCGTATATGTATATGATTTTATACATTTACATATAATTTTATATAACTTACATAGCTATAGTAATAAATTCAATTTTATATTTTAAATTTCCATTTAGCACCATATCAGACATTTTCCTTGCTACATGGTCTGTAAAATTAGGATATTTATATAGGGCACCGGTAAGATGAAGGTAAGTCAGGAGCTGGAAAGGAATGAAGCCAGAAAATGTTACAGAAAATATAAAGTTTGTTTTTACCTGGCAGATACTATGATAGCATAGCACAAGTAACCACTTTGAACTGCTGATTGCTGATGTGACTGTAGGAATGAATGTCTGTTTTTGGAATCACTTATGCTTGCTATACTAAGCAAGATAAATAACTGAGCCAGGTGAGAGATTCCATATCTCTAAAAGTGGCTTTAACAGTAGTTTAGTTTATATTATGGTTTATGTTACTATTTAATAGTAGTTTGGTTAAATCTTGGTTTATATTATGAGGTAAGACTTGAATTCACTCTTTTAAATTACTTTTACAGACAAACACTTTTGGTTTATATTATAAAACTCATAAAGTCAATATTGAATAGTTGTCTTTTAGTAAAATTTAATATTTGTTTGTTCATTCCTTTTCTTGCCTTTGAGTAAATAATATATATATATATATATATTTTTTACAGAAAATGTCAAGGGCACTTACAGTTTCCAGAAGTGTTGATGTTCCTTCAATTCCTTCTTGTGGACGGTCATATGGTTATCATATTAATGAGGATGGCAGTATCACAGAACATTTTCCACCTGCTATTGACAGTACACTAGGTCCAGCATACTATAAACCTCAATTTGTAAGTATGATACATTTCACACTGACCGTTGGAAGACTGTTTATTATTATGCATGTTCTAGTTAATGTAATACTAACTGCAGTAACAGATAGACCCCCAAATCTCAATGACTTAATGCAACAGAAATTCTTTTTTTCCTCATTCATATGAACATTTCTTGTTGATAAGAGATGTTCCTCCATGTAGAGATTCAGCGACACAGGCTTATTCCATTCATGTTACTGTCATCTCCAAAGGCCTTGGTGTCATCTGTATCCAGCTCGCAGAAGGGGAAAGAGGACAGAGAACTGGTAGTAGGGGTTTTTTGTAGGCTAGGCCTGGTAGTTAAATTTCAGGCACATGGACACACTTAACTCCAAGGAGCCTGGGAAATACAGTCTAACTGTATCCAGGAAAAAGAGGAAATAGTTTAATAGTTTAAGCTTAGGCTAAAGCACCTTATGAAACCATTTGGTTTTTGGCATTAGGTATACTGGGGTATTTTGGAGTCTTAGATACTTTGAATTGTTAAGTTTTTATTCCTAAAATATTTTTATTATAATTTATATAATTGCACATAGAGTTGAACAAACATAAAAACAGATAACCATGTACCCACCATCTCATATAACACATATTAAAATTTTATTACACTCGAATTAGCTATATTTTAAAGTAATTATATTATTACAATTATTATCCTACCCAATTTCCCTCCCTCCATTCTTTTCCCTTTGCCAAAGTAAACAGTAAATCTTTACTACATATAAATAACAATATGTATTGTTGTATGATTTAAAACATTTAAGTAAATGTTATCATCTGGCATGCAGGTTGCTTGCTATTTCACTTAATGTTATATTTTCTAGATTTAGCTATATCAATATACTAGATCTAATCCATTCATTGTTTCCAATTAGTGAGTTTATTTTTAAAAAAATAATTTTAAATTTTGAAATAATTTCAGATTGATAGAAAAGTTAAAAGAATAATACAAATAATTCCCATATACCTTTCACTTAGATCCTGCAGTTAATGCTTTATCACATTTGCTTTATCATTTCCCCTGTATATTTATATTCTTATTTTAATTAAGCAATTTCAGAGTACATTTAAGACATGATGCCCCTTTACTCCTAAATACCTTTAATGTAAAATTTCTAAGAACAAGAATTCTCTTTTATAACCACAATGTAATTATCAAAATCAGAAAAATTTCTTTCATATAATCCTATTATCTAATCTGTAGATATTTTAAAAATATTACTAATTATCTCAATGATATTCTTTAAAAAATGAGTTTTGGTCAAGAGTCCCATCTGGTATTACAAGTTGCATTTAGTTGTCGTGTCTCTTTAGAGTCCTATCATTGGGAACAGTTCTTCAGTCTTGCTTTGTCTTTTGTAACCTTGACTTTTTGAAGAGTACAGGCTGTTTAATTTGTAGAATATGTCTCAGTTTCGGATTCGTGTATATTTTATCATGATTAGGATGAGTTTATATATTTTAGCAGGAATGCTACGTAAGTGAAGCATCCTTCTCAATGTATCACATAAAAAGGCGCAGGATGTTTACTTATCCCGTAGTTGGTGATGTTAACTTGAGGGGGTGTCTTTTGGTTTTATCTACTGTAAAGTTACTATTTTAAAAAATTTATAAATATTTTGGAGAGGTTACTTTAAGAATGAGTAGATATCCTATTCCTTATCAAACTCTCACCTATTAGTTTAACATCCATTGATGATGCCTGAATCAATTTTACTGTGATGTTTATCAAATGGTGGTTTTCTAATGTCATATTTTCTTTAACATTTTTTTTGTTGGCACTTTACTTACTATAAAGAACAGCTTTATATTCTCCATTTATGTATTTATATCAGTATGGGTTCATGAATTCCTGTTTTACTGAAAAGGTTGTGATTCAATGCTCTCACTATTTATTTTGAGGTTAAAATGATCTAATATTTGACCCTTGGGAGCCCTTTCAGTCTGCTTGTTGTGTCTTTTTGACATATCTCCATCATTCTTTGAGCATTTCTTTATTTTATGGCACAATAAAATGTTGCAGGTTCATCTTATTTTTTCCGTTGCCACAGCTGTTGGAATCAGTCATTTCCTCAAGGAGCTCTACTTTCATTTAGTGGAGAATGATATTTCAAAACAAGATCAGTACACTAGGTACATTTGGGGTATTATTCCTTCTAGGCCGTCTCAATGGACAAAGTTAGAAATCTATACTTTTTCTTATCTGTCTATTAAAAACTTTGAGCTTATATTGATATCTCTGATTCCAGTTCAGTGCCACATGTTTATTCTTGTATTTCCTTTTCTGTGTTTGATCTCCCTTCTCCCACAGTGAGAAGCTTGGTTCCCACTATCCTCAGTATATTTACTTATTTGCTTAATCTTGTAAAACACTGAACATAGTTTCAGGATTGCTAACCCATCACTTCAAAAACCAGACTTGAGAAGGTACAAAGCTCTTACCTCTATGTGACCTTTGGGAAGTGAAAGCTAAGACAGACTTGTAAACTGCCTACTTGAGTGTTGAAGGTGTGTCTCAACACATGCACAGTGCACCTCTGCAAAGGTTGGAGACCTACTCGTTCAAAGCATTAAGAAAACCTCTGTCCAACGATTACCTGACCAGTCGGGTAGCCAGACCGAGACTTACGTGGACACACGTGACAGAGAATATAGAATTTAGAGAATTAGTCCAGAAATCACTAAACAGAAAAACCCACAATAAACCTTTGGGTCAGGAGGGAGATTCTGATTTTCAGAGTTGCCACATTATATTATCTAAGATGTCTGGTTTTCAACAAAAAATTATGAGACATGCGAAAACAACAACAGAAATATGACCCATACATAGGAGAAGAAGCAATCATTAGAAACTGTTCTTGAGGAAGCCAGGATGTTGGACTTATTAGACAAAGTCTTTGGTTCAACTATTTTAAATATATTCAAGTAAATAAAGGAAGGTATGTCTAAATAATTAAAGGGGAATATAAAAACAATGTCTCACCAAACAGTATCAATAAAGATAGAAGTTATAAAAAACAGCCATGTAGAAATTCTGGAGTTGAGAAGTACAATCATGGAAATGAAAAATTCTCTAGAGGGATTCACTAGTGGATTTGAACTGGCAAAAGAAAGAATTAGCAAACTTGAAGACGAGTCAATTGATATGCAACCTGATGAACAGGAAGAAAAAAGTATGAAGAAAAATAAACATAACATCCGAGACTTGGGGGACACCATCAAGCACACCAATGTATGCATAATGAGGGTCAAAGAAGGAGAGAAGAAAAAGGGGAAAGAGAGAATAGTTGAAGAAATAATAACTTGAAAACATCCCAAATTTGCTGACAAACAATCTACACATACAAGAAGCTCATTGAATTGCAAATAGGATAAATTCAGAGAGATGCACACCTAGATATATCACAATCAAACTGTTGAAGCCAAAGACATTGAGAAATCTTGAAAGCAGCAAGAAGAGTGACAAGAAATCCCCAAGAAGATTAACAGCTGACTTATCAGAAACCATGGAGGCTGGAAGGCAGTGAAGTGATATATTCAAAGTACTGAAATAAAAAAGATTGCTAATCGAGAATTCTGCAACCAGCAAAACTATTCTTTGAAAATGAAGACAAAATTAAGACATTCCCAGATAAACAGAAACTGATAGATTTTGTCTGTAGTACACCCTCTAAAAGAAATAGAGTTCCGTAGGATGAAATGAAAGTTCATTAGACAATCACTCACATTCTGTTTAAAGAATTAAAGTACAAAGGTAAAGGTAAATAGACAGGCTGGTATTTTACTTTTAGTTTGTAACTCCTCTTTTTAAATTTCTATTGATTATAGAACACACTAGAGATAATACATTTTATCTTCAAATACAGGTATTTGAAGACCTGATAGACTGCTCCTTACTATAAAACTTATGAATAACCAACTTACCTCTGATAAAATGGAGAGTAAAGATATTGCAAGTTATAGACATGTCTCCTGTTCACACCCTTAGAATTCCCATTTCTTTCTGGCTATAGGGTCTTTTATCCCAGGAGTATTTTGCTCTCCCTGTCAATGCCATGCCTGTTTTTCCAGGCCTTGACTATCCTATCATCCTGTTAATAATATAAAAATAATTAGTTTTCATCCACAGACAGTGCCAGTATCTTAGGTATTTGAGTAAGATATGCTCAGAAGAACAATGGAGATAACTCTGTAAAAATTACATTGAAATTAATGGAAGTCCTGTGGTCTAATATCAGTATATTCTGTCCAAGGTAAAGGACAATTATGAAAGGTAGTGTAATCGAACTGGACTGCTTGTGTTTATTTCTTGGCTTCACTACTTAATAGTTATTTGTCTTTGGCCAAGTTACTTAAGTTCTTTGTGCTAAGTTTTCTTATCTAAAATATCCTGGGAAAAACTTTGGTTTAATATATTGGAACTAGTATTTCTTTTTCACAGTAGTCATTGATCCTTGGTCTCAGCTTAAACAGTTCTCTGTTATTCTTAACTTAAATCCCAAAATGTTATTCTTGCTTTAAAATTATATTTTTTGTATATGCCATTTCTTTGTTTCAGAATAATGTATCATCCTTTAAAAGGCCAGAATAATGCCTCCAAGCTAGATGTGCAAAACTTTTTTCATGTATGAATAAACATTACTTTAACATATAAAATTTGATTTCTTTCTGGCTACATTATTATTCATAGAAGAGAGAAATAACAATAAGAAAATTTATTCTACAATTTTAATAGGTCCAATTTGATGACCTATTTTAGTAATTACTGATTTGATCCAACTTGTATTTATTAGAATAAAATCTAGATCAAATTTAAGAAAACATGTTTGTAAAAACATAGTTTTACGTATAAATTAAAGACATAGTGGTTAATATTCAAGAAGATTCAACAAAGCTTAATTTGAATTGTGATATTTTCTGAAATCTCCATCTTGAATTTGAGAGAAAAACTAGAGGTAGGGTAGCAAAGGTCAGTA